CTCAGACCAAGATCCTCCTATCTATGCCTCCCATGTAGCTGGGATTACATGCAGGTACTGTCATGCCCAGCTTGTTTGTTGAAGTGGAATCTCACTAACTTTTTACCTGGGCTGGCCTCAAACATTGACCCTCTAGATCTCTACCTCTCAAGTAGCTGGGATTACAGTCATGAGCTGGCCTGTTTTGTTGTTCAGGCAGCAGAGTCACTATAGATATACAATAATTTGATAGAAAAATACATCTGGAATAATACATTTCTTTAATCCAAATGCTTTGTGTGTCCTAATCCAATCGCTATGGTAATCACAAAAATGGCTCTAATACTTTGCAGATAAGATTGTCTTTCTCCACCTCCTGAATTAGGACTGGCCATGTGACTACTCTAGTCAGCGGAAGGACAACAAAATAAAACAAACAGAGGCCTGAGAAAGGCATGTACCTTCTGTTCCCAACACCACATTTAAAGAACCAGGCTGGCCTGCTGGATAAGAGATACATGTGGCCCAGTCATCCCTGCCGTCCCAGCTGATAAGTGGCCAACTGATTGAAGATGAGGCCATTCAAGATGAGCCAGTCCACCATCAGCTAAGAATCAGCTAAGTCCGTGATCACAAAAACTACCCACAAAACCATGAGCTAAATAAGTGTTCAACCACTAAGTTATCAGGTGGTTTGATTTGTGGCAAAAAGCTAACTGATATACAACTCCATCTTGTGAAGAAATTAAGGTACAGACCCACCAACAGTCCCCCAGCTATTGTGTGGTGACAGATTCGAGGTCTAGCATTCTGGCTCCAGGTCATGCCTTGTCACCTGTCCCCTAGCAAAGTCACTGTGCGGATTTCAAATGTTTTCTCATTCACCTACTTTCCTAAAAGAGGTTAAATCCAGAACATGGCCTCACATGGCCCCATGAACAGCCTCCAAGCAATGCTGAGTACTGACTATCCCTCACCATCTTGGTTTGCATTGGCTCTGCTCTCTTCTGACACATCCCAACCATTTAAAAATAACAATGCCGAGAGATGAAGGATGAACGAAGATGGTACATTTGCAATGGAACAGCATCCCACTTCAAAAGGAAGTAAGTTCTGCACGTGGCACAACGTGGATGAACATGGAGGACATTTCACTAGTGAAATGAGTCAGTCACACAAAGACACACACTGTAGATTCCTGCTACTTCTAGGAGGTGACCAGAGCAGTCAAAGTCATAGGAACAGAAAGCAGAATGATGGTGGCGGAGGTGGGAGGGGCCGGGGGAAGGGAGGAATGGAGAGTTATTTTTAATGGATACAAGATTTTAGCTTAAGATGAAAAAGTTCTGCAGATGGCTGGTGATGCGACTTGTACAACAAAGTGAAGGCACTGAATGTCACAGAACTATTTGTTTATCTTTATGTATTTATTTATTTTTGGGTACTGGGGATTGAACTCAAGGCCTAAGTAGATAATCTACTACTTGAGCCACATCCCCAGCTCAGAACTATATATTTTTAAAGTGGTTTGGATGATAAGTTTTATGTTATGTATGTTTTACCACAACTTTTTTTGTTTTGATGTGATACTGGGGTTTGAACCAGGGCCTCACACAGCTAGGTAAGCACATTACTACTGGAGTGATACCTCCAGTCCTTAATTTTGTTTTTGAGGGTCTTGCTACCTTTTTGCTCTGGCTGGCCTTGAACTGTTGATCCTCTTGCCTCTACCTCCCAAGTAGCTGCAGATATGTGTGTGTGTGTTTGGTGGGACTGGGATTTGAACTCAGGGCTTCATGCTTGCAAAACAGGAGCTTTACTGCTTGAGCCACACCTCCAGTTGGTTTTTTTGGGTTATTTTGGAGATGGGGTCTCATGAACTATTTGCTCGGGCTGACCTCAAGTCACAATCCTCCTGATCTGAGTCTTCCAAGTAGCTAGGATTGCAGGTATGAGCCATCAGCACCCAGCTGGCTTTTTTAAAGGAACAACAACAACAAAGTTTTGACTGGCAGTGATAAAATGACAGATCTGAAACTACCATTCGACCAGACAGACCCCAAGGAGTAAAGTAAATGAGATACACTCTGCCATTCCGCATTCCTGAGTCACCTGCTCCTTGCCACACCTCTAAGGCCAGAGGGGCTGCCAGATTTGTCAAAGCAGCCTTATCATCGAGCTCAGCTCAAGGACAAAAACTCTCCAAGAACTACAAGCAAATTCCCGGACCCCACCCTGCACAGAAGAAAATGTCATGATCTGTCTTCTTCCCTGGCAGCACTTAAAACTTGGTTTTCAAGATCACAGGATTGGATCTGACTCACTGGTAGGAAAATGAGTTGACATCAGGAACAACAAAGTCAGAGCACATTTTTGATGGACAGATACAATTTCTACTGACCCAACAACTACAGAAACTCTTTATAGAAAACCCAGTCACAGGGCTGGGGATATAGCTCAGTGATTTAGTTTTGCCTTTCATCCATGAGGCCCTGAGTTCAATCCCTAGTACCACAAAAAAGAAAGAAAACCCAATCACAGGAAACAGTTTTCCCTTTGAAAGTCCCCTCTGTCGTCTGATTGAGACACTGGGTATATAGACACAGGCTTCCAGATGTATAAAGCCACCATTAAGAAAAACCTGATTTGGGAGACAGAGGGAGAGAGAGAAGGAAGAGGAGGGAGAGAGAAGGGGGTATGCATGAAATGTAACAGGATGTATTGGGACTCATTTTCTTCTTTTTGTCTACTTTCTAAATTTCCCAAATAAATCCTAATTCTCTTAAATGAAGCTGAAACCCAAGCTCACATGAAGATGTCACGGTTAGACACATGTCACGTAAGTCCTAGGAATTGTGCTGATTCCTGGACCATCAGCATTTTGAAGAGGAGGGCGCTGACACTTAGGACATATTCCTCACAGAACTGCCTTCAAGGATTCTCTGACACCGTCCTCGCTGGGCAGTCAGGAGGGTTTGTAAATATAAAAAGGAAGGGGTGTGGACAAAGCAGAGGAAGAAAACAGGAAGCCCCACTTGGCAGCATCAGGAAGGTCAGAGGAACACTCATGCCATCTGGCCCAAGCCCAGGTGACCTGCCATCCACAGACATGAAATGTAACATCCGTGCCTGTCTCCGTCTTTGAGCATCCTTCTGGCTCCTTGGCTAGAAACCAGCAAGGTCCCTTGGGGCTATGGGCGGGGGCTGCTCTCCCTTTCCTCCTTCCCCATGGGCAAGTTGGGGGGGTGGGGGGGTGGGGGTGTGCAGTCAGCTCACAGAAACTTTGCGGGTACCAAGCTGGACACAATCCCCTCAATACTCATCTTGGGCTCTGCCCACTGCAGTGAGTCGGTCACCCTGGGGCCTAGGCATATCTAATTACCCTGACGACAGAGTGGCTTGCCCAAGAGACTCAGTGACTCTCATGATTACTGTTCTCTCTAGCCAGAGAGGAAGAAGAGACGCCAATCTTCTGTGTCCTAGCAAACTGGGAGCCTCCCAACCCAGCTCCCTCCTACCTCTTCTCCCATCAAAAACAATTTGGATCCAGAAAAGAGAGTGGTTTAAAATCTATTCCAGTTGTCACAGTCAACTGGGGACACACCCACCAAGTGCGATTTCTATGAACACAACCCACACGAAGCTGGATGTGCCCATGGGTTCCTGCCCCTCTGCCCGCCTCGCTACGAGGCAGGAAAGAGTTAGAGGAAAGAGGCCATGGGGAGGAAAAGCCTCCTGTCTTGGAGGCAGCAGGGAACATCTGATCTGCTGGTGACTCCGTAGTCCCATCACTCACTTGTTTCTCCATATTTTTGTTCATTTGACATTTGAATACCTTCTGTATGCTGGCATTGGAACAAACCAAACAGGCAAAACTTCCTGTCCTGTGAGCTTGGTTTACTGTAGACACACAAACTCTGACCAAAGTCAAGGATGACAGAGGAAAAGCAAATCAGGGAATGGGGGCTGAAGGTGGCAGAGATGGTGACTGGAAGCTTCCATTTCAAATCCAGTTAAATCCTGGCTTTCATCCTGTTTGGGTCTGATCTTACTTTTCTGCGACTTCCTGTTACAAAGGTCCACCCTACTGCCATCTCCTACATGGTTCTCACAACCTGTGCTGTGCACACATACGGCAGGTGCTCAAAACCATGTGTGTGGTTGGTCACTAAACATTTTCTTACAAGGGAGACTTCTGTACGCAGGTAAGTGTGCAATAGGGAGACACCTGGGTACTTGATACTAAATTGTAATTTGAAACAACTGCTTAGATCTTTGGGGAAAATCTGAGCTCTTATCCCAAGACACGCCACAGGGCTGGTGATTCATGAGGATGAGACACTGGGTCACAAGTCAAGTGAGCTATGGTATGTGGAAAGCCCCCAGCCCAGGGTCTGGCACTCAGCAGGTACCAGTTAACTACTGGGGACCCTTTTACTTCTCTGGTCACAGAGCCTGACTCTCAGAGGCTGGGAGGTGACAAGCAGCAACTTGCACCATATCACATCAGTGGTGATCAAGGGAAGACACACTCAGAAACCTGAACCAATTTCCACGCAGGCCCCAGCAACCACCTGAGTGTAACCCTACCCCTACCCCACTGCCCCATCTCTTCTGAGTTCCTCTGCTCCTTAATTGGGTCCTCCAGACAAAGAGCCAGAGTCTCTAGGGAGTGATCCTTCTGCTGCCCCTCAGATGGTCACTGGGAGAAGAGGAGGCACACAGTCATACATCCTGTGGGCCCAGCTGCCCACCTCAGGGACCCAGGCACAACTCAGACAGCTCACGGCGTCCACTTGCAGGGTCTTCCAAATGCCAACACCCACACCCTATTAAAGTGTCGTGAGCTGGAATAAAGCATATGGGGGAGGATAGGAAGTTCACTTCAAATGTAGCCATATTCAAAGCCACACAGAATGGGTGCTATTAACCTGAATGGAGGGTACAGAAAACAAAACGTGCCCCCAAAACGCAGTTAGGGTGTCAGGTGGAGATAAGAGACATCTGCAGGATGGTCTTACCTGCCTCGCCACCCTCCGTGCCTCCCAGTAGGGCTTTGAGTCCTCCACAGCCTTGCCAATTTTCTTTACCAGCTCATCCAGTTTTACCGTCGCCTCAACCAGAACAGAGCGGAACTTCTGACGGGCATCCTGCGACAGGAATAGAGATCAGGGTCAAGAAGGAATCTGTGCACACCTGCTTCACCTAATCACAACACCAGGAAGGACTTGACACGTGGTACAGACCCCTAAGCCAACACCTTCACACGACAGTGTCTACATCAGCGCCACCCAAAGAACTTGCAGCCAAGGAGAAAATGACCCAGAATCTGTGCTGTTGGAATGGCCAGCAGTCACGTGATGCTTCTGAGCACTTGAAACTGGTTAGTGTGACTGAGGAAATGTGCGTGTAATGTATCTTACAGTGTGCCCAGACATGGTGGCACACTGCTATAATCCCAGTTACTCGGGAGTTAGAGGTAGGAAGATCACAGTCTGAGACCAGCCCAGGCAAAGTCAGCACAGGACCCTCTCTGAAAAACAAACTAAAAACAAAAGGACTGGAGTGTGGTTCAAGTGGTGGAGCACTTCCCTAGCAAGTGTGAGGTTCTGAATTCAACCCCTGGTTCTGTAAAATAATAATAATAAAAGAATAAAAAATAATGTGACCAGGGCCTATAATCCTAGCTACTCAAGAAGCTGAGATCAGGAGGATTGTAGTTCAAGGCCAGCCCAGGCAAAAAGTTTGTAAGATCTCATCTCAACTAACAGATGGGCATGATAGCTCACGGCTGTCATTCCAATGATGGCAGGAAATAGTCCAGGCCAACCTAAGCAAAAAGTGACTCTATCTCCAAAATAACTAAAGCAAAAAGGGCTGGTGAAGTGGCTCTAGAGGTAGAGTGCCTGCCTAGCAAGTGTGAAGCCCTGAGTTCAAACCCTTCTGAAAAAGAAAAGAAAAAACTGTCCAGGCCTTCAGGGGAGGAACATGCAATCGCGCAGTGAAAGCCAATGTGACAGCCCCATTTCCCACAGCCCCACAAAGCCTTCAACCAAACATGTAGCAATGGTAAACACTGAGTGCGGATTTCCCGCAAGCCAGACCTCTGCTGGGCCTTGCACACATTCTGCCCTCAGGGCACTTTGTTTAGTGGGCAGGGCAGATATCACAGTCCATTCTAGAGAAGTCAGTGTGCCACCATGAGAATGGACACCTGCACAGCAGAGAACCTCCAGAGGAGCAGTATCCACACAGCAGCCTGGAGCACAGTCACATGGGGGAGGGAGAGGAAAAGGGAATCCCAAGCAGGCAAGGAGCCCTCGCTCAGCTGATAGGCTAGATGGAATAACATGATGCTTTCAAGAAACTAAGGGAGCCAGAGGTCTGGAATAAAGACAATGGCAAGAGATAAAAGGGTAGCCACCCATCAGGGAGGTGGCAACTAGGAAGCTGGGCTTCTACAAAAATTTGGAAGGAGCTGGGTGCTAGTGGCTCATGCCTATATTCTTAGCTACTTGGGAGGCTGAGATAGGGAGGATTGTGTTTGGAGGCCAGCATGAGACCCCTATCTCCAAAATAACCAGAGCAAAATGGACTGGAGATGTGGCTCAAACAGTAGAATGCCTGCTTTGCAAGTGCAAAGCTCTGTGTTCAAAACCCAGTCCCACAAAAAAAAAAAAAAAGAGTTTGGAAGGAAGGAACAGGAAAGTGATTTGTGCCAGGCTTAATCATATCTCAAAAGTCCAGAAACCAGGCCTGTGAAGTATAAGGAAGGACATAAGAAAAAGGAAATTTAGTTCTGGGTCTAGGAGTCCATATTGGGGATCAGGTCAATACTTCTCATGCCCAGTTTCCCCTCTTACTCTGTTCCCTTTAGCATTTGCACACCTGGGTGGGAGGCGTTTGGGGGCATGTGTGTGCATGCGTGAGTTTGAGAAAGGGGAAACTGATACTCGGAGAAGGAACAGGGCATGACCGTGAGCCAAAGGCACTCCCCAAGACTAAACAGCCACCCTGCTGGTGACACACTTGCTCCACTGGTGGGAAGAATCTTCCTCACAATCTGGAAAATCTGGATCTCTACCCTCGAAATGGAAGGGGCCTCAGAGGTAGCTCTGGTCAGTTCTTCCAATTCCTCTCCTTCATCATCTCAAGCCATGGGCTGCTGGGTGAGTTTGAAAATGCTGCTGGATTCCAGGAGAAGAGAATGTGCCTCTGTCTCCCACAGGAGTTCTGTGGCTCTGGAGCCTAAATCCTACTTCTGACATAGGTTTTGTGCCCCCAAACTGTGTCACCATCATTCTGGCTTTTCCTGCTTTTTCTCCTGCCAGGCCAGGCCTGGGATCACCTGCAACAGCTTCTGAAGGCAGAGAATAAACTAGATTTGCTCTCCATGGGAAGGGCCACACATGCCTTGAGGTGTCCCAGGGAACAGCACAGCCCCACCCAGCTTCTGCCAGACCCGGCTTCTAGTAAGTGGGAGGCAGCTTGCTGTCAAGCCCCAAGATTGTAATCAGAGACTTGGATTCAACAGTGGCTAAACCTCTTTCTGGAGCTTATGAACCACCTGTATACCTACCAAATTAGTTCTTTCTACCTCCTAGGGAGGGCTGTTAGAGAAAATGAAAGCATTCAACAATTCCAGGGCTCACAGTAGGTAATCAATAAATGCATACAAATTTTCCTCATGGAAAGAGACCCTAACAAAAACCATGGGTCGGGGAAGACTCCCTTGAGGCAAAGGTAGCTGACACAATAGCCATAGTAACCTATCACACAGGAAGGCAGGCACTTTGCCAGCTGTATCCACTGCGTGACTAGAGCCTCATGGTCACCTCCCTGGGGGGGGGGACACTATCCATGCTCACACCAAAAGTGACAAAACTAAGGACCAGATCGGTTAGTCTATGGCCCAGGCAATTCACATCCTCCCCCTGCCCCTGGGGCACTCTGTAAACTGAGCTCTGGGCGCCAAACCAGTAGCTGATGGGGCCAAGAGGCTTGGATACTGTGCAGTAAATGTAGGAAAACTCTTATTTAAAAAAAGTAGATTCTCAGATTTCTCATTAAAAAATCATCAGGTGACCTGGGAGCCCTGTGTCCCCACGCCTACCGGACAAATGTTAGCCAGATGTGGAGAAGGTTGTCCCCTTAGACACTACCCACTCCAGTCTCCACCTGATACCTGAATCCCTCATTCTGGCTCCCTGCTCAGCCCCTGGAGACATCTGACTTGTCAAACTCCGTTCTGGGCACTTGTGAATTTAACTTACCAACTCTGACTTTGTGGGGAAAGAAGAATGTAGAGAACAGGCTGGTGATTTATGGGGTGGCAGGTGCTACTGTAAGGGCTTAAACCCCATCAACCTGTGCGACCGCTAACAACCCTATCTGGAAGGCCCACATCTTATAAAGGAGGAAAATGAGGCACAGGGAAGCTAGGTAGCTTGCCCAAAGTTGCAGAACTGGAAAATGGCAGAGCCAAGATTTAAATAGATAAATACGATTTGGTGTGGAATGTGCACTGTGCAACAGACATACAACTGGGACGTCACCCAAGGAAAGTGTCACCAAGCCAGGCCTTGAGGAGAATCAGACTTCACCTGGCAGGGATGGCACGTGGGAGGGCTGGAACAAGGAAAGCATGTGTGCCATATGAAGACATTTCAACACCATCCCATGCACAAAGGGAAGTCATGGCGGGGTGGGGGTGTTGCAGGGTTATAGTCTTTCTTTCCAGAAGACTTTCTGCTTCTCCTTTCACCAAAAAAGAGGTTTAGCTATTGTTGAATCCAAGTCTCTGATTACAATCCCGGGCCTTGACAGCCTCCCTCCTCTATTCTTCTCTCTGATACTTCTCTTCCTTTGGCCTTAAGTCATCTCAAAATCAAACCTTTTAACCTGGGTCCACATAACCAGGGTTTTTCTTTCCCCAAATGTATTCTCAAATTACTTTCCATGTACCCAATGTCAGAAATGATTGAAGAATGCATTCTAGCACAGCACAGAAAAGTAACCACAGCTCACTACGTGGCTTGATTAAAAAGTACTTATGTAGCTGCAACGGTGTGCTCACCAAATACTGACCACCATGGAACTCTGCTGGGAGGACGGGGAAGGTAGGGGAAAGTGGGAAGGTGAGGAGACGGAGGGAGGGAAAAGACCCAAATCTCATCTTTCTTAGTGGGACAAGAGCAACTAATAATTTAAACTGAAAAACAAAGGCGCCACATAACACAACTCCCAGAAGCAAATCCACAATTACATAAAACACATGAACCGATATAGAAAACTGCCTCTCAGGTAGAGAAGTGGGGGGGTTAGAGGACAGGTTTATAGTCTTTTCTTTTTGGGAGACAGGGTCTTGCTATGTAGTCCAGGCTGGTCTAGAACTCAAGCTTCTCTTGCTTCAGCTGGGCGCTGGAGGCTCACCCCTGTAATCCTAGCTTCTAGGGAGGATCATGGTTCAAAAGGCCAACCTGGGCAAATAATTTCACAAGACCTCATCTATAAAATAACCACAGCAAAATGGACTGGAGGAGTGGCTCAAGTGGTAGAGTGTCTGGTTTGTAAGTATGAGGTTCTCAGTTCAAACCCCAGTCCCACCAAAAAAAAAAAAAAGATCCTCTCATCCTTTCGCTTCAGCCTCCTGAATGTTGAGATTACAGGAATGTACCACTATACTCAGCTTTTTGTGGTACTAGGCGTTGAACTCAGGCTTGCTAGGCAGGTGCTCTACCACCTGAATGACAACTCCGACCCTTTTTGCTTTTAGTTATTTTTCAGATAGGGTCTTGCATTTTTGCCTGGGCCCAGCCTCAGACCTCAATCTACCTACTTAGGGCCTCCTATTTAGCTAGGATCACAGGCATGCACTCCTTCAGCCAGTTCATTTGTCAAGTATGTGTGGGGGATCTCACTTTTTGCCTAGGCTAAAGTCTTAAACCACAATCCTCCCATCTCTGCCTCTTGAGTAGCTGGGATTCCAGAAATGAGCTACTGTGCCCAGCCCTGTTGGTTTTAATTATAGTAAAATTTCATGGGGGATTTGTATAAGCAGGAGCATGGCCTGATAAATTTGGGTTTTATAAAATTGTTACCTGGCTGCAGAGTCTTTTAAAAGACTCCTCGGGTGATTCTTCAGGGCCTC